ACTAATATAAAATAACTGTTTTCTATTCTGAATATATGTTAAAATATGATTTATTCCTGTGTTGGCAGTCTGAATGTTCAGCATCGTTACTCCATTCTTCAGTGTGGTCCTTCAGAAATCATTCTAATATGATGATTTGCTCCTAAGGAAATTTTTATTTTTATTGTCAATGTCGAAAACAGTTGTGTTTTATTTATGTATTTTTTATTCAAGTAAAGATATCATTTTTTGTACAAATGCATGTATTAAACATTACACCAATAGCAAAGAAGGAAAATAGAATAGAATAGAATAGAATATATTCTTTTTTGTCATTGTTTAAGGAACAATGTAAAACCATTTAGCAGCTCTTCAGAATAAGCAGTATAAACAAATGTGGAAGATAAAAACAGACATATATTAGAAAAATATATACAAACTATAAGCATATACAAACAAATTAGCAATATAGTCAAGTGAAGACATAAATACAAATGACCAAGGCATAAATACAAAACAACAATAAGATTAAATACAAATATAAACACAGTGTGGTAAACAAATGAGGTAGTGCAAAGTTAAATAGTGCAATGGGATAATATAGTGGGCCAGAGATTATTGCACTTCTTACTCAAGTAGGAGAACATATGACGTCCAGGGTGACTGGTGTCTTTTAAAATCCAGTTGGCCGCCTTCTGCAGTCGGTCAGTGTAAATGTCAGTGAGTTTGTGTAGTGATGTGCCAATGACTCAGATGTGCTCAGGTGCTCCCACTACCCCCTGCAGGTCCTTTCTGTTCTCCTCTGTGCAGCTGGAGAACCACACAGTGCAGCACTAGGTTAGGAGGCTCTCTATGGCTGACCGATAGAAGTTGGTCAGCAGATTTTGAGGAAGGTTGGTGTGTTTTAACTTCCTGAGAAAGTAGAGTCTCTGGTGGGCCCACTTGCTGAGAGATGTGTTTTGACCAGGTGAGGTCAGCTGAGATGTGCTGTCCAAGAAATTTAAAGCTCTCTACTCTCTCTACCTCCTCATATGCAGAGGACGGAGTGCTCACTGCAATCGAACTTAGACCATCTCCTTCAGGTAGACTCGGGATCGGTATCCTGGTGTGCACACACGAGTCCAAATGACAGCTTTTATATTAACCATTTTTCAAGTGAACTGTTCCCCATTTTGAAGTAACCTGCCATTGTGAAACCCCCCTAAACATGCGTAATCGTTTTCAAACACCTCCGATTTCACAGTCTTCACTAGGATGCGAAAACTGCGTTTTCAAATTTATCCACTTTGAAGAACATTTTCTAAAAGATCCATTTACCTTCCGTGTTGCTGTCGGTTGGGGTGTGTGTGTGCCTACTTAACTATATTTTGAGGACAAATTTGTAAACAAAAGTGAGCAAAATCTGACAAAATCGCCCAAAATCTCTCAATTTTTTTTAAATGTGAAAATGCAGAAAATGTTCTATGATGGCTAGTTTTAGGGTGTTGGTTAGGTTATAAAATGTATAACTATCTGTATATAAAACCTATAAAAGTCTATGCAATGTCCCCATTTAGATAAGTAAATACGTGCATGCCCCCCCCCCATAGCGCGAGAACTAGGGGTGCTGAGTGTGCTGAAGCACCCTCTGCTGACAGCTAGGAAATTTAGGATGATATAACTCAAGTTTTATTTATTTTTTTATTTTCCACTTTTATTCATAAAATTGTTAAAAATATGATTTCATATTTATATGTTGTTTGTGAAAAATAAATATATTCCAAAAGTCGATCTGGTGTGAGTGACATGAATCGAGTGCAGCATTATTCATTCAGGCCACGTCGGCATAGTGCTGAGGTTGGCTGATGTTGTCAGCTGACAAATCGCTCCAACCACTATCATCCTCCTATTAGTCCGGATATATTTATGTGGCATTATTGCTCAGAAAATATGCTCAAACTGCTCGCAAGCATTGCGATACAGCTAAATACAGCATGAAAATTTTGTATATGTTATTTCTATTTCATCTTACCTGCTGCTTCCTGATGATGGACACTTCGGATATCCTAGGACAAATCCTATCCGAGGATTCTCCGGATGAGATTCAGGATCGTTACACCGAAGACCTCGATGCAACCCAGCTAGTGAGATGCAGCTCTAGGATATCAGCGAGGAATCCTTTCCCCATTAACGAATGGTCAAAAGAAAGTATTTTGTCCACCTCGTACTCCCTCAATGTACATGCTCCTCTGAATCTGAACCATGATCAGCTCTTGAACTTTTTACAAGAAGTCTATCAAGACCCGCAGCGCCCATCTACCAATGCAGTACCTTCTCCCATAGGAACCCTATCTGACATGGATAACAGGATCCAAGCGCTGGAATCACAACGCTCATCTTCCGCACCTCGGGTGACGTTTGACGGGCAGACTTCCAGCTCGACATCAGACCGTGCCCCTACTCCCGACTTGGCTGCTAATCTTCCTAGAAGATCTCTTGGATCCAAGTTACCTGCACTTCTACAGGAGTGCCTTTTTTCCCCCAAGCAGTTGCCATTTCTCCCCAACTGTGTGCTCAAATCCTGTCAGGTAACAACATCAACTTAAAATATTAAAATACTGTTATGCACAGAAACTAACAAAAGAAAGATTGTGGATTGTGGGGCTATATCAGTCATTCTCAAAGATAATGACCCAAGACTTACTAAAAGTTTAACAATGGACAAATTTAACGTTGCTTTCGGTGTGTTCAAAGACATTATCTGTGAAGTGTATTCAGACAGGAGAAAGGAACTAGATACTTATCTAGCTATCATGTCGGATCACGCCATGTCTTACGGAGGCACACTATTTTACGAATACCACAAATCGTTTTCATCTAAAGCAGCAATGTATATACAATGTGAAAGTTAAACTTCTCTGCTATAATTTCAATGACAATGTCTGTACTCGTTATATTGGTGCAAAGATGAGTAGTGGTGATATTTATTTTGTACAACATTTGCAACTGCTTTTTATCACTTAATTAAAAGCACCACAAACGTCTCAGGTTACTTATGTAACCATGGTTCTCTGAGGAGGGAACGAGACACTGCATCTTCTAGGGGTCGCTATGGGGAACGCCTCGTCGTGACCCGTGTCTGAAGCATACATTGAAAAACACCAACTCGTTGGCCGGCGACAGCCATGACGTCACTACCGGTGCGTCTATAGTATAAATAGGCGCCGGGAGCTACACATCATTCACTTCTTCGTCTGAAGCTTACGTCCGCAGCATGGTAAGAAACCTAGAGGACGCAGTGTCTCGTTCCCTACTCAGGGAACCATGGTTACATAAGTAACCTGAGACGTTCCCTTTCATGGGAACTTCGAACTGCGTACTCTAGGGGTAGCTATGGGGAACGGTATACCCACGCCACCATGCTGAGGGGAGTGCAAGCCAGAACCATGGCGAGCACTAAGTACCAACTCTACCATATTGCTATGGGAGTCGCCCCTGGGAGGCATGGCTGTCGCTGGCCAACGAGTTGGTGTTTTTCAATGTATGCTTCAGACACGGGTCACGACGAGGCGTTCCCCATAGCGACCCCTAGGGGACGCAGTTCGAAGTTCCCATGAAAGGGAATTAAAATTATATCATGTTATAGAGACTATTGAACAGACGTTTAGAAGTTGATTTTACATTTTTAAATTTAAATTAAAATTAAGCTATGTAAACACTTGCCTTTTTACAACGCTATATATGTGTGTCCCATCAGGTAATGAAAAGTTTGACACACACTTGTGGTCTTCATTCTCACTTGAACACTTTGGCCAAATACAGGAAATACGTCATATAAGTTGTCAAGTGGTCAAGTGCAAAGACTGCAAGTGTGGGTATTTGGACAAGGCAATTGATAATCCCGACTCAGGAAGGAGATTGCCAATTTTGGGGCAAGTAACCAAGATTGAAGGCAAAGAGATGCACAGCCTGACCATCACATGTAAATCCATGGTAGAAAGAAATCATGAGCTACATACTTCCTCGGACTGGTTTCCCCCACCCAGGACAAAGACCAGGCTCCTTCTAGACCTTTTGACCTTTTTGTTCCTCACAAAGCACATCGTCACGTTCACAGTCTTTTACATATGTAGATGCATCTAAAATCATCTTAAAAGGACTTATAAACGAATATCAGTCCATTGCACATCATAGCATGCATGTCACCCACACATTTGTCTATAATGTTCTAATCACTCATTGTGTATGTATTTTTAATAACTATTGAATAGCTTAAGGGTTGATATTCATGTTAAGTATGTGTGTGTTTGACTCTTCTTGCTTGAAACGTTTCTTCCAATCAATTATTTGTCAAATGTGTCATATTCTTGTTATAGAAATAATGTTCAAATTATACTCTGCAAGAGCGGGAAAATACGTTGAATATAAATTCAATGCACACAGACTGAAGTAGTTTAAATCTTTGGTTCTTTTAATTGTGATGATTTTGGCTCACATTTAACAAAAACCCACCAATTCACTATCTCAGGCTGGGGTCAAGGCATCAAGAGCCACCACACACAGACGTGTCAAGGAATTTGGCTACAGTTGTCGTATTCCTCTTGTTAAGCCACTCCTGAACCACAGACAACGTCAGAGGCGTCTTACCTGGGCTAAGGTGAAGAAGAACTGGACTGTTGCCCAGTGGTCCAAAGTCCTCTTTTCAGATGAGAGCAAGTTTTGTATTTCATTTGGAAACCAAGGTCCTAGAGTCTGGAGGAAGGGTGGAGAAGCTCATAGCCCAAGTTGCTTGAAGTCCAGTGTTAAGTTTCCACAATTTATTTAATACACGAGTTTCACAATTTGAGTTGAATTACTGAAATGACATTCTAATTTGATGAGATGCACCTGTATATGAACAAGAGGTCTAGATGTAGTGGCATTATTTTTATGTTGCAGTTGTTCATAAATTCCTATGAACATGCAATACATGTTTGACCACAATCAGAAAGAACTCATCACCTGAAAACTATGCAAAAACAAAATGTAAACAGACTCATCGATTATCTCTGGTGGAAAAATAGTATTTACAATTCACACATTCACAATAGAACAGAAGAAAGGATTTCTGTCTCATGTGCTCATTATAGCTAAAATTCTCTTTTGCCAAATGCTGTACACACTTCTTTGACTTAAAATCAAGAAACATAAAATAACTGCTTTGACATACACATTTTTTATCAGGCTGACTGCTGTCATAACCAGTGGTCACATCTCTGATGTGTGTGATGCAGTAGTCACCACATAATTCTGGGTAATCACCCGGACCTCCAAAATTGTGCAGGCGGCTAAATATTCTATGAATAGTTAAAGGGTCACTGCAGAGGACATAGGATGTTCTGGAAACGTGATAGCCATAGCTGGGGTACAACAGTGATAATTATTAGGTTGATCATTATTAGGTACTTAAGAAAGAAAAATAAAAAATAAAAAGAGTAGCAGAAGAGATACTCACATTTCATAAATGTTGATTAACTGTTGGTTCAAGGAAAGATTTTTGGTGTGCAGATAAGCAGCCATCTCAGCCACAACAGTTGCTTTACTGACTCCATCCTTATCAAGAACCATGTTTCCACACAAAAACCCTGGCATCAAAATAAAGGATGACACATAACGTTATCATTCCTCTACATATGCTTTTACTCTCAAGTTGATGAAAATACAACCCCTTATACACTTCAAAAAAATTGTGTGACGTATTTCAAGGTGACACAGGAAAATATATCGGATTATGAAAAATCAATCAATCAAGATTCTACTTTTGTGTTCCAAAGAGGAAAGTAAAACAGATTGATGATGACAACATTTTTGAGTGAATTATACAAAATATCCCACTAATTTACAGAATAAACAGGGCAGTCAACAGCATTGCTTGAACTTGTTTGTCTGCAGTTAAATGTACTTACCAATGGATTCTTCAAAGGAAAAAATGACTTCCTTTCCTGTTTTTGTTAATTCGTGGATTCTTTTTCCAATCCATTTGAAACCAGGCAATGTTTCCTAGGATGAACGGGAGCAAAGTAAAAATACCAAATTTCAGTAAGAACTTAAACTAAGTGGCCTTGTATTTTGTTTAGCAAACAAAAATCTACATTTAGATCATAGTCTATATGCAAGAATAACAAAGCACTCAAGGCATTTTGAATCTTAGTAATAACTTCAAATTGAGACTTGAACTAACCTCAAAATGAAAGCCTTCTATGCGTGCAAAGGCATTAAGTATTTTGGAAGAAACAGTGGTGGCCAGCATGTATACTATCTCAGTATCTGCTGGGTCAGGATGTGCTTCCTTCCAGTTAAACAACATCCACCAGCCAAGCAATGCAGCCAACTCATTTCCCGTGAACACTTTCCAAACAAAACTGCCCATAAAAAAAACCATAGGACACAACTTGATTCAAGAGTTCAGAAGTACTCTTCAGGAGAATTGATACTGCTGCATTTTACTGCTGAGGGTTTTAATGAGCATAAGAAAACCTACTTGCCATTCCGCTCTGCAACTGCCAAGCGGTCAGCATCAGGGTCTGTTGCCACAACAATATGGGCCTCTTCCCTCTCAGCCAAATGAAGGGACAGCTCCTATACAAAGTCAATGCAACACAAGTCAATGGTCATGTCATGTCAAGTAACCTTTATTTATATAGTGCTTTATACAATACATATAGTGTCAAAGCAGCTTTACAGAGTTAAACAGGAAAATAGTGTGTCAATAATCCAAGAGGACAATAGCAAACAGTCAATTTTCCAGTTAAAGGGATAGTTCACCCAAAAATGAAAATCATGTCATTAATTACTCACCCTCATGTCGTTCCAAACCCGTGAGACCTTCATTCATCTTCGGAACACAATTTAAGAAAATTCTTCTCTTCCCTGTCACTGTCTGCTGGCATTCATGATAGTACCACGACACATGCGTGTGCATTCCTCTGCTTGTAAACAAGAGCATGCGTGTTCTACTTCAGCAGCATTACACACATACATCATGGTACTCTCGTGAATGGCGGCGGACAGTGACAGAAGAGAAGAGTAGAAGAGAAGAATTGTTGACTAAAGTCATTATTTTTGTTTGCTTTGTTCACAAAAAGTATTCTGGTAGCTTCATAAAATTACGGTTGAACCACTGATGTCACGTGGACTATGTTAACAATGCCCTTACTATGTTTCTGTGCCTTGAATGTGGTAGTCCCCTTGCTGTCTATGCAGGCTTAGAAAGCTCTTGTCTTTCACCAAAAATATCTTCAATGTTTTCCGAAAATGAACGAACGTCTTACGGGTTCGGAACGACATGAGGGTGAGTAATTAAAGGGCTGGTTGATTATGATTTAACATGAACTTTAGTTAGTGTGTAATGTTGCTGTTAGAGCATAAACAACATCTACAAAGTTATGACACTCAGTGTTCAATGCAAAGACAGATATTTTTATTTTAAAGAAATCACTGTTTAAGGACTACAAAAAACATCTGGTAGGGATTACAACGAGCTACTTCCTCAGTTTGTGACATCACCTAACCCTGATGTGTACATAAACCGCGCCCCCGGGAACACGCAACTACCCGTAATGGAAAGGGGGCGTGATGTTTCCGGACATCGTGCACTAGGCCTCCACACTGAGCCTGCTAACCAATCAGAGACTATTGCGTATTTCTGAGGGAGGGGCTTCATAGAACCAGGAACTCAACAGACCGTTTTGACAAGAATGGAAACAGCGATGTAGAATAATGGGAACAAATGTAAAAGTAAGGTTCTTTTTTTTTAACAAAGCAGGAATACATGTTACACTGCACCCCATAAATACAATCAAGCTGTTGAAAAAAGCTGATCAACCACCCCTTTAATGACAGAATTTTCATTTTTGGGTGAACTATCCCTTTATAGTCAGTTCATCGTTGATTCAGTCATCATCAAGCTCAGTTCAGTTCTCTTCAAATTGTGTCTGTGCAATCAAGTGCACAATGATGCCAAAAATCAAGTCATGTCTGCATAATGACTTAGTACAGTATTACTTTTTTTCCAATGTCGTGCCATAACCAAGGGGGTCTAAATATATATGCTCCCCTGTTTGCAGCTATAACAGCTTCCACTCTTCTGGTAAGGCTTTACACAAGATTTTAGAGTGTTTCTGTTGGATTTTTTGCCATTCATCCAGTAGATCATTTTTAAAGGCCAGGTACTCATGTTGGACAAAAAGGCCTGGCTCGCAATCTTCATTGCAGTTCATCCTAAAGGTGTTTGATGCAGTTGAGGTAAGGCCTCTGAGCAGGTCAGTCAAGCTTTTCCACACCAAACTTATCCAACCATGTCTTCATGGACCTTGCTTTGTCCACTGGGGCACAGTCATGCTGGAGAAGCAAAGGGCCTTCCCCAAACTGTTCCCACAAAGCATTGCATTGTCCAAAATGTTGTGGTGTGCTGAAGCATTAAGATTTCCCATCACTGAAACGGGCCGAGCCCAACCCCTGAAGACAGGCCCATACCATTATCCCTCCTCCACCAAACTTTACAGTGGGTTCAGGCAGGTAACATTCTCTTGGCATCCGCCAAGCTCAGACTTGCACATCAGACTGCCAAACAAAGAAGCGTGATTTGTCCCGCTAAAGTACAAGTTTCCACTGCTCCAGAGTTCATTGATGGCATGCTTCACACCACTCCATTTGATGCTTGACATTATATTTGGTGATGCGAGGCTTGAATGCAGCTTCTCGGCCATGGAAACTGTCAGGGAGCTAACCCATGACCATTTATGAACTATGGGCATGTACCCTCATAACATACACACACACACACACACACACACAGAGCAGGTAGCATTACACGGTCTGTTTGCCGGCATTGACATCTGTAATGTTTGACTCAGACGAAGCGGTGTAGGATGTGTTTGGTGTGTGTTGAATTAATGTGCGTATTATGTTCATGGGGAAGTCTGTACATGTTCAATGTGTTGTGTGATTTAGCCAGTTAACATAACGTGACCAGCATGTATAAGTTCTGTTTATACCAATACTCATTGTACAAAAAACCATAAGATTATTCATGATGTTAAAACATTTATTTGATAGTTTATACAGATTAACAGATATACTTACTAGCAGTGAAACATCAGTTGCCAAATCTGTGCTGTATAAACCTTGAGGTATTTAGACCTGGTATTCGTGTCACCTGAATAGACCGGTCCATGTTTTCTTGAGGTCAGTATAAGGGTCCATACAGTTGCAGTGAAACAAATGTATTTCTGGGTGGTCTTTCATGCTTATGTCTTGTGGGTTTAAAACTGTATTGATATTCGGGTTTTGTATGTAGTATGTGTTTGTATGGCTAAAGGTTTTATATGGTAATTGTGCCTGGGCTTACCCATAGAGTGGTACGCTCCCGAGGGCGGGGTTTAGAATGTAAAATGCCGCAAGAGATGTGCTCTGGCGGCAAGGTTGGCATGCTTGTGCTCTTGTTCGATTCACAATGGCAGTGAACTGACTTTTTAAGATTTTGATTGTTTCGTTTTTGTAATATGTCTAACTTGATACTGGGGACCTTTGTCACCGATTGCACAATAAATGCACCTGCAATGGGACTTTAGTGGACTGGTTACTTTTTACCCCGGCCGCAAAGGGGTAAAAAGGCTGGGGTAAACAGAAACCCATTTAATGAATCTTCTGCAGCACAGTTTTTGTACTGATATTAACACCAGTGAACGTTTGGACTATGAGTGCTGAGGCGCAGAGTGCTTAAAATACTCAGTGACCCCGCTCTGTGATTTTACATAGTCTTCCGATTCATGCCCGAGTTACTGTTTCACAAACTGCCTTACTGCAAAGGTGTCATCCTCTCACAGTACCATGCTTGAATTCACTAAGCTCTTCAGAGGCCCATTTCAGAAAGGAGGTTAAGTGAAAACTCTGAGTATGTTAACCCTGAAATGAGGGAAACTCTGGGTTTTCCGTTTCAGAATGGAAGGATTGTCAAACCCGAGAAAGCAAGTTAAGTCAAGTCCGTTTCTGAAAGAGAGGTAACTTATACTCAGAGTCAGTTACCATGGTAACTTACTCTGTGAACCTAACCTGGTCGGGAGCAGGTTTTCTTCGTTAAACCCAAAGTTTATTCGGTCTCCCCTTTTTTAAAACGTAAGCAATGTTTAAATACATCATTCATTCATTCATGCTGCAAAAACGCTTTTCCTAAGTATTTTGACTGGAAACAAAAAGACAAAAATACTAAGAAAATATTTTTTTGCAGTGCTGGTACATTCATTCATTGCACATATTTTCATCATGCAGACACTCTGAAAGTGACAAAAAAATGGCATGTCCTCTTATACGGAATCCTTTAGATGAGGATACTACATTAATTTGTAGGGAGTTACATTTACATCGGGATATGATTATTTAGATTTTTTGCCATATCTGCATGCATATTTATTTGAGCAGAACCATTTTTAAATGGTAGTTTTACATATAACATCAGGGATGCAGAGCACATTAGTAAGGCCACTGTAAGCAGAGCGATGAGGAAAGTGTGACTCGCTCTGACGCTCTTTATGAGAACTTTTGTGTAGTTTTCCAAGCACAAACCCATCAAAAATGAAGCTGATTACTTTATGGAATGGAAGGATGCCAGATGGAAGGGTAGTTCGAGATATATGCCTTAACCACCACCACAGCTGTTAAATTTATTTGGTCATCTTTATTTATTACTTTAATACAAAAGCATCAATTATTCTTTCTCCTGTTGGATTTGTAATATTCTTCCAATACTTGGTATTGTGGCCATCTTCTTCATCCGTTCTTCATTATTTTGTTGGCTGAGTAGAAGTCAAATGTTAATTTCATTACTCTAATTAAGAAATGCAACAGTTTGGATTAGAGAACATTTAATTATGTGAAAACAGCATTAGACTACGTTGAAAAAGCTGCAGCGCACTGAAATAGACACGGAGTGATATTTATTTAATAAGTAAAATGTTTGTTAAGTCATGTAGCCTACACTCATGAACCTTTTATGCTTAAAGCTTTACCTGATTGAATGGTTAGCTGCTTTTTGTTTTAGTTTTTTTTGCCTGTGGGATACCATGAAAATTAATATTAGTTCAATAACTTACTTTTCTACCAGTTTTTACCTTTGATATTATAACAGTGATTAAGAATTATAGTTACATATTCACTTGGAAGTATGCAGACGTCTTTTTGTCGGCTGCTGTTGCTAGGGCTGGGCGGTATGACGGTATATATCATTACCGCGGAATAAATTGTCTATCGTTACAGATTTTGCTATATCGTGTATTCTGCAGTATGCAAATATATATGTATAACATAGTACTACTTAAAAGTTATATTCACCTTGGAGTGACAAGGAAACATGCATGAATGAGAAAATAAAGAGTGGGACGCACTTGATAGCTATTAAGTGCAATAAGCAGTGAAAAAGTACTCAATGCGGTGCTCGCGCTGACTGACAAACCCACAGAGAAAGCACCTCTCTCAGACAGCATGCGATCTCCAATTTGGGACTTGCATGATGTTTAATAAAGCTATTAAGCGTAATAAGCAGTGAAAACTAACTCAATCCGCTGCTCGCGCTGACTGACACACAGCCTAAGCTCATGCACTGAAAGCCCCTCTCTCAGACAGCATGTGATCGCAAAAACAGATCTCTTTCGTGCTTGAATGGTCAAATATGCACAACTGTCATGGTATCCCACAGGCAAAATAAAAATAAAATAAAAAGCAGCTAAACATTGTCAAAATGCCCGTCGTGTGGAGTAATCACATAAACACAGATACTTTATTTACATTTATTTAACACATAACCAACTAAGTATATCAGTATATTGGATCCGTGCAGTTGGTCTTAAAGGGACAGCAGTCTAATTTACCTGCTGCTGTCTGTCATTAATGTTAATCACTCACTGCACTTTACTGAATCACTTTTGGATCTTTAATAAGAATCAGTTCATGTTTGATTCACACAGTGGAATAAGAATCAGTTCATGTTTGATTCATACAGTGAAGACTATGCAGTGTTTTATTTATACTCTTCATTCAATTTATGTAAAATTTCCTTCTACATGTTGAATAAACCTACTGTAGCCTACCATAGCTGAATAAATTAAAAGTTTATTTTATATAAATTTGTGTTATTGTGTTTGTAATTTGCTTCTTTTTCTTATTTGTATTAACAAATAAAATTGCTATATCAAGATATTGTTATCGTGAAATAAAATGTATCATACCGTGAAATAAGATTTTGGTCATATTGCCCACCCCTAGCTGTTGCCATGGTGAATCATAATTTCGAAGCTCCATTGATCATGGCTTTTCATAGTCATGGTGCACACGCTAAACTCGACTCTGAGTAGGTTGTCTCTAACTCAATTCAGCTGTTCTGAACCCGACAACACCCATCTCAGGGTTAGTCAACTCAGTGTTCAAGTTTCAGTTGGCTGAACCTCCTTATTGAAACGGGCCCCAGAACAACCCATTTGTTTTTGCTTGTGTACACAGACTGCATGGCTAGGTGCTTGATTCTATATACCTATGGGAATGGGTATAATTGAAACACCTGAATTTAATAATTAAGAGGTGTGTCCCATACCTTTGTCCATAGAGTATATATTATATCTTATTTTATCTTTATATATAAATCTTTCGAGACTGATAATATTACCAAGACTGATTCTCCTTCCTCTGGGTTAGGACAACTGACAGTGAAAAAATCTGGATCTGGATCTTTCTGTTCTGGAACAGGGATGGGAGGTGGAAAGCCAAACTGCTGAAAAGCTCTCTGGACATAGTTGTGACCAACACCATGGAAATTAGTGCACAGACTTCAGGGGAGACTTTGCGTTAAGCTCTCTGCAATGAAATAAGAAAAACATTTAAAATAAATAAATAAAAAACTTATTGATTTGTGCTAAAACTTCTAAATTTGTGAAGTAATGCATTTTAAAAAAAGTGATCAAAAATCAAATAACCCCCTATATGTTAAAACAAATACTTAATTCTCAAGGCAAACAGAAAATGACAAAGGATAGTTCACCCAAAAATGAAAATTACCCCATCATGATTTACTCACCCTCAAGGCATAAGGTCCAGTGAGAATATGCTAGTCTCGCAAGAACCAAGGTTTGTTTACAGTAGCAAAGGAAGCAAAGTTTCCTTTGTTAACAAAAGAAAACCAGTCTCCTCTTGGCTTATATCGAAATCCTCCAAAATTCTTCTTTACAAATCCTTGTTTTGCACTTCTAATTTGTGACCAGTGTTTTGTTTTGCTCTCTCCTCTGCGCTTCTGCATTTGTCACTTCTCACCGGAGCTTACACTACGCCAACGTCCTACTGGAACGCCACTCTCTTGTAAATGAGTGTATGAGAGTTAGTGGAAGCTAGAGATTATGGTTTAAAAAATTTTAAAGCTACAGCCCGTAAGTTGTCTCTTTGTCGGCATCTCTGTTTGAAAACCTGCAATTGCAGCTGTGTGCGGAATTATCTTCCTTGCGTGGGTTGTGCACCGGCATGGCTCCAGCGTGGATGAATCTAATGTTTTGAGGAGTATGTGTGGCAGTCAGTCACCGCGCCGGTATGGATATTGTACTTTGCACTCACAGATTCTAGCCTGCGTCTTGGAATATATGTCTCAAATAAGCATTTTCACTGGATATTGTCATCTGAACAAGTAACAAGTCTGCCACATTTGTTCTGACCAACTGAGGAAAAAAGCATTACAATAAATCGTGCTACCAATGGTGATTTAATCTAAATTAGCTCATATCACATCAAACCGTGCAAATTATTATTATTGTTATACTTTATTCTCAAATTGTTAATGTTAACAACATCAGCACTGCGTGAGTATGAGTATAGTGCATATAAGCGAGTAGATTTCAATTTCTGTACAGTCTAATTTCTAATCGTCATACCACTCGAATTTCATATTAAGAAATTATTTTAACCCAAAAAGCAAATTATGCTCCCTTCGAACTGGTTTTCTTTAAAATACAAATCTTGTGTAATCCCAGGCTATCTGTAATCAGAAGCACATTTAAAACTGGAATATAATTTAATTTCTTTCACATGTGTTTCATAAACACACAATTCTTTCTGGATTACAATCCGCCATCAAAATTATACATTGAATTATTCTGGCTGCTGTGAGAAAAGGCTATAAAAGATCGGCCACCTGCATGATCCTCACATGCGATAGCCTAGTAGCCGGTACAACTTCTTTATGTTTACAGATGTGACGTAATGACGCAGTGCTATGCTCGAGTTTCCTGCGAAAACCTACCCGTACCACTCAATTTAGAAAACAGTATTATAAGCTGACCGTTGTGAATAGGGCTAAAATAAGGCGATAGTTTCGAACACTGGCTGGTTATGTACTTGCTCAAATATTGATTTCACATCATTTTTAACCAAAAAAAAGTTACAGACTTCATCTTTAAATATAGACATTTTTCTTACCATGATGCATCGATTTGCTTCAGGGGGCCTATATTAACCTCTCGGAGCCGCGTGGAGCACTTTTTATGATGGATGGATGCAGTTTATTGGACTATTGAATATTACCACCCATTCACTTCATATTATAAAGCTTGGAAGAGCCAGGACATTTTTAAATATAACTCTGATTGTATTCGTCTGAAAAAAAAAAAAGTTATATACACCTGGGATTGGTTGAAAGAGAAGCTTGAGTAAATCAGGGGTTAATTTAAATTTTTGGGTGAACTATCCCTTTAAGATGATTGTTTATCGATCATTATAGATCAGGGATCCTCAAATCTGGCCCACGAGATCCACTTTCCTGCAGAGTTGAGCTCTAACCCTAATCAAACACACCTGAGCATGCTAATCAATGTCTTCAGGATCATTAGAAAATCACAGGTAGCTGAGTTTGATCAGGGTTGGAGCTAAACTCTGCAGCGCATTGGACCTCCAGGGCAAGATTTGAGGAACTAGTTCAATAACTTACTTTTCTACCAGTTTTTACCTTTGATATTATAACAGTGATTAAGAATTATAGTTACATATTCACTTGGAAGTATGCAGACGTCTTTTTGTCGGCTGCTGTTGCTAGGGCTGGGCGGTATGACGGTATATATCATTACCGCGGAATAAATTGTCTATCGTTACAGATTTTGCTATATCGTGTATTCTGCAGTATGCAAATATATATGTATAACATAGTACTACTTAAAAGTTATATTCACCTTGGAGTGACAAGGAAACATGCATGAATGAGAAAATAAAGAGTGGGACGCACTTGATAGCTATTAAGTGCAATAAGCAGTGAAAAAGTACTCAATGCGGTGCTCGCGCTGACTGACAAACCCACAGAGAAAGCACCTCTCTCAGACAGCATGCGATCTCCAATTTGGGACTTGCATGATGTTTAATAAAGCTATTAAGCGTAATAAGCAGTGAAAACTAACTCAATCCGCTGCTCGCGCTGACTGACACACAGCCTAAGCTCATGCACTGAAAGCCCCTCTCTCAGACAGCATGTGATCGCAAAAACAGATCTCTTTCGTGCTTGAATGGTCAAATATGCACAACTGTCATGGTATCCCACAGGCAAAATAAAAATAAAATAAAAAGCAGCTAAACATTGTCAAAATGCCCGTCGTGTGGAGTAATCACATAAACACAGATACTTTATTTACATTTATTTAACACATAACCAACTAAGTATATCAGTATATTGGATCCGTGCAGTTGGTCTTAAAGGGACAGCAGTCTAATTTACCTGCTGCTGTCTGTCATTAATGTTAATCACTCACTGCACTTTACTGAATCACTTTTGGATCTTTAATAAGAATCAGTTCATGTTTGATTCACACAGTGGAATAAGAATCAGTTCATGTTTGATTCATACAGTGAAGACTATGCAGTGTTTTATTTATACTCTTCATTCAATTTATGTAAAATTTCCTTCTACATGTTGAATAAACCTACTGTAGCCTACCATAGCTGAATAAATTAAAAGTTTATTTTATATAAATTTGTGTTATTGTGTTTGTAATTTGCTTCTTTTTCTTATTTGTATTAACAAATAAAATTGCTATATCAAGATATTGTTATCGTGAAATAAAATGTATCATACCGTGAAATAAGATTTTGGTCATATTGCCCACCCCTAGCTGTTGCCATGGTGAATCATAATTTCGAAGCTCCATTGATCATGGCTTTTCATAGTCATGGTGCACACGCTAAACTCGACTCTGAGTAGGTTGTCTCTAACTCAATTCAGCTGTTCTGAACCCGACAACACCCATCTCAGGGTTAGTCAACTCAGTGTTCAAGTTTCAGTTGGCTGAACCTCCTTATTGAAACGGGCCCCAGAACAACCCATTTGTTTTTGCTTGTGTACACAGACTGCATGGCTAGGTGCTTGATTCTATATACCTATGGGAATGGGTATAATTGAAACACCTGAATTTAATAATTAAGAGGTGTGTCCCATACCTTTGTCCATAGAGTATATATTATATCTTATTTTATCTTTATATATAAATCTTTCGAGACTGATAATATTACCAAGACTGATTCTCCTTCCTCTGGGTTAGGACAACTGACAGTGAAAAAATCTGGATCTGGATCTTTCTGTTCTGGAACAGGGATGGGAGGTGGAAAGCCAAACTGCTGAAAAGCTCTCTGGACATAGTTGTGACCAACACCATGGAAATTAGTGCACAGACTTCAGGGGAGACTTTGCGTTAAGCTCTCTGCAATGAAATAAGAAAAACATTTAAAATAAATAAATAAAAAACTTATTGATTTGTGCTAAAACTTCTAAATTTGTGAAGTAATGCATTTTAAAAAAAGTGATCAAAAATCAAATAACCCCCTATATGTTAAAACAAATACTTAATTCTCAAGGCAAACAGAAAATGACAAAGGATAGTTCACCCAAAAATGAAAATTACCCCATCATGATTTACTCACCCTCAAGGCATAAGGTCCAGTGAGAATATGCTAGTCTCGCAAGAACCAAGGTTTGTTTACAGTAGCAAAGGAAGCAAAGTTTCCTTTGTTAACAAAAGAAAACCAGTCTCCTCTTGGCTTATATCGAAATCCTCCAAAATTCTTCTTTACAAATCCTTGTTTTGCACTTCTAATTTGTGACCAGTGTTTTGTTTTGCTCTCTCCTCTGCGCTTCTGCATTTGTCACTTCTCACCGGAGCTTACACTACGCCAACGTCCTACTGGAACGCCACTCTCTTGTAAATGAGTGTATGAGAGTTAGTGGAAGCTAGAGATTATGGTTTAAAAAATTTTAAAGCTACAGCCCGTAAGTTGTCTCTTTGTCGGCATCTCTGTTTGAAAACCTGCAATTGCAGCTGTGTGCGGAATTATCTTCCTTGCGTGGGTTGTGCACCGGCATGGCTCCAGCGTGGATGAATCTAATGTTTTGAGGAGTATGTGTGGCAGTCAGTCACCGCGCCGGTATGGATATTGTACTTTGCACTCACAGATTCTAGCCTGCGTCTTGGAATATATGTCTCAAATAAGCATTTTCACTGGATATTGTCATCTGAACAAGTAACAAGTCTGCCACATTTGTTCTGACCAACTGAGGAAAAAAGCATTACAATAAATCGTGCTACCAATGGTGATTTAATCTAAATTAGCTCATATCACATCAAACCGTGCAAATTATTATTATTGTTATACTTTATTCTCAAATTGTTAATGTTAACAACATCAGCACTGCGTGAGTATGAGTATAGTGCATATAAGCGAGTAGATTTCAATTTCTGTACAGTCTAATTTCTAATCGTCATACCACTCGAATTTCATATTAAGAAATTATTTTAACCCAAAAAGCAAATTATGCTCCCTTCGAACTGGTTTTCTTTAAAATACAAATCTTGTGTAATCCCAGGCTATCTGTAATCAGAAGCACATTTAAAACTGGAATATAATTTAATTTCTTTCACATGTGTTTCATAAACACACAATTCTTTCTGGATTACAATCCGCCATCAAAATTATACATTGAATTATTCTGGCTGCTGTGAGAAAAGGCTATAAAAGATCGGCCACCTGCATGATCCTCACATGCGATAGCCTAGTAGCCGGTACAACTTCTTTATGTTTACAGATGTGACGTAATGACGCAGTGCTATGCTCGAGTTTCCTGCGAAAACCTACCCGTACCACTCAATTTAGAAAACAGTATTATAAGCTGACCGTTGTGAATAGGGCTAAAATAAGGCGATAGTTTCGAACACTGGCTGGTTATGTACTTGCTCAAATATTGATTTCACATCATTTTTAACCAAAAAAAAGTTACAGACTTCATCTTTAAATATAGACATTTTTCTTACCATGATGCATCGATTTGCTTCAGGGGGCCTATATTAACCTCTCGGAGCCGCGTGGAGCACTTTTTATGATGGATGGATGCAGTTTATTGGACTATTGAATATTACCACCCATTCACTTCATATTATAAAGCTTGGAAGAGCCAGGACATTTTTAAATATAACTCTGATTGTATTCGTCTGAAAAAAAAAAAAGTTATATACACCTGGGATTGGTTGAAAGAGAAGCTTGAGTAAATCAGGGGTTAATTTAAATTTTTGGGTGAACTATCCCTTTAAGATGATTGTTTATCGATCATTATAGATCAGGGATCCTCAAATCTGGCCCACGAGATCCACTTTCCTGCAGAGTTGAGCTCTAACCCTAATCAAACACACCTGAGCATGCTAATCAATGTCTTCAGGATCATTAGAAAATCACAGGTAGCTGAGTTTGATCAGGGTTGGAGCTAAACTCTGCAGCGCATTGGACCTCCAGGGCAAGATTTGAGGAACCCTGTTATAGATCATTGTTTCTTTTATATATATATAAAAAAAAATGTGTCAAATGTTTGCATTAGTACTAAAAGTAAACCAAATAACATAGGATGCCAATGCCAAGTAAGTATTATAATTTGTTTTGTCTAGCATATTGACAAGAAAAAAACAAAAGTACTCTTAATTTGTTTCCTTGAAAAATTACTTCAATGTTTAGCAATGGATAGTTAATTAAGAATAGTTCAATTTAAAAGCATTAAATGAAATGTATTAATATTTAAGTTTTTAAATAAGTCAATGGTGAAATGCAATTGTGATCAAATATAATTGTGAAATTTCACTGGTATTGGTATCACCTAATGCAATTTTGATATTGTGAAATATTTAAAAAGAAGTATATCATATTGAGGGGGACAAATGATACAAGGGCACCTCTAATAGAAATTATTTTTAAAAGCCTGATATATAAGCTTTTTTTTTTGGTAATACAAAGGTTCTTTGTAATAGACAAAAGGTTCTCTAGAACAGTGGTTCTCAATTCCAGTCCTGGGGTACCACTGCTCTGCACATTTTGTATGTCTCTCTTATCTGACACCCTCGGTTAAGTTCATGGATCACCCTCCTAACGAGCTGATGATCTGAATCAGGTGCGTTAAATAAGGAAGACATACAAAATGTGCAGAGCAGTGGCACCACAGGACTGGAATTGAGAACCATTGCTCTAGAACAGGGGTGGCGAACGTCGGTCCTGGAGAGCCGCAGCCCTGCAGAGTTTTGCTTCAACCCTAATCAAACACACCTGAACATGCTAATCAAGGTCTGAAGGGTTACTAGAAAGCTACAGGCAGGTAGATTTTAATTAGGGTTGGAGCTGTACTCTGCAGGGCTGCGGCTCTCCAGGACCGGAGTTCGCCACCCCTGCTCTAGAATATAAAAAGACACTACACACTCAATGTCATATAATGCTTTTTATGACACCAAAATGCTTCTTTTAAGAATACTTCACTGAGAGTTTTCTTGGGAAAACAAAAATTATTTGTCATTGTTTCGTCCTAGCACCTTTATTTTTAGTAGTGTACATTATAAAAAAATTTAAAAAACTACCAGTACTCGCTCTTAGTACAGGTGAGAGACTGCACCTGTGGAAGCAGATAGTGTTTAGCTCTTCCATGTACCAGCGGCAGACGTCCTCCAGAGGGTCTCTCCGTAACAGGCTGCTTTCAACTAGGTGCTCATTCCAGGACTCGGGCCAGGGTTCAGTATTCTCCTCAATGCAATGCAAGATCTCCTTATCATGTGGAGAGGAGATCTGTGCACCATTGTGCCAGTAAACCTACAGAAAATCCACAAAGCTGAATCTGATAAATTGAACATCTTAAGGCTGGAATACACTACACGACTTTTAAAATCTGAACAGATTTGAAAACACTGGGGATCGTACACTTACCGACTTGTGATAGTCACAGAAGTAAAACTGGCCGTCATACTAAACGACTGACTACCAGACTTTAAAGTTGTTCAGATCACAACAAACTCACACCTTGTTTCTATGACATGCATGAAAACAATGTGTTCAAAAATCTGCTGAAAATATAAAACATCTTTGATATCCTCCGACTGGATGGATACAAAGTCTGAAGCTAAAAAAAAAAAATCAAGAGTCTGTGACCATCATGCACTATGTGATTTTCTATGAAATCTATCAACTCAAATCTGCAGACTGGCTCTGACTTTCAGCAACTAGCGTCAACTTCTCTAGACTTTAAATCAGCGGAAAATCGGGGCAAAAATCGTGTATTGTTTTCCAGCCCTTAGACTCACTGTTCTGAGGTATATACAAGACATACTTTAGCATGCTTATGTTATGGTTTTTCCTTTGAAATATCAATGATATTAAACTACAGCCCCTGGCAGCAACAATAAAAATACATATATTTGCACTGTGTTACAATTCACATTCTGAAACAGACTGTTTCATCTCCATAACATATTAGCAGCTTCAAAGTGATGAACAGGAACATAAACTCAACTATGAAGACAATTCATTATTATTTAGCTGAAGTCAGCTCAGTGCTGGTTCGGTTCAGATAGGGCTACACAATGAATCATATTTTAATCGTGATCATTTTACATTTTGACTTCAAATGAAAAAAACGAAACTTTTTTTTTTGTCAGAAATAAATATTTCATAACATTAAGTTTTGCAACAGGAGCTGGAAATTCTGTATTACTGTTCAAAGGCTGCATTTATTTGATCAAAAATACAGTAAAACGTTATTGTTAAATATTTTTACAATAAAAATATTAAAAATAAAAAACTGTTTTCTATGTTAATATCTTTTCAAATGTCATTCCTGTGACGGCAAATCTGAATTTTCAGCATCATTACTCCAGTCTTCAGTGTCACAAGATCCATCAGAATGAATTCTAATATGCTGATTTGCTGCTCAATAAACATTTCTTAAAATCAGTTTTTGCTGCTTAATACTTAGTATCACTCAATATGTAATTAGTAGTGGAAATTGTGATACACTATAAAGCCCATTTAGCTGGCTGGCCAGGTAAGTTTCAGTTTAGCCAACTCTGGGTTTGAAATGAATTGTGGGTCCGTCGCTTCGCGTTGGGTCCATTGCTTCAGGCAGAAGTTGAAAACTTTAAGCGCCAACGCAGGCGTCAGCCAATCAGATCGCCTTATGCAAATATCCTAGCGCAGACACTAGCCAATAGCGTTCATGCAACACCAGAAGACTAATGTGATTGGCTGTTGTCCCTATGACAGTCGCGTCAGCACCAAGCTTCAGAAACGCTCTCTGTCAAGCGTTAACGCTGTGAATGGGGTGTTAGAAAACTTTTAATGAGGAATTTATGTAGAAAATAAATCTACAAAATAGTCCACCTAATTGTGTCATCATTTACTCACCCTCATGTCGTTCCAACCCTGTATGGCTTTCTTTCTTCTGCAGAACACAAATAAGATATTTTGAGAAACGTCTCGGTGATTTTTATGTCCACACAATGAAAGTCAATGGCAACAAACTGTTTGCTTACCATCATTCTTCAAAATATGTTCTTTTGTGTCCCACAGAAGAAAGAAGGTCATACAGGTCTGGAACAACTTATGACAGAATTTTCATTTGGGGTGTTATATTTTATTGTCTTTTTAGCCCAAGTGTATTTTCTTATTGTAACGAAGGAGAATGGCCTTGACAACTGAAAACTTTAGACAATTTCATAAATTCATATTAAAATAGGATTAGCAGATGCTCACCTTGTATCCATTGTCCTCTTTTCTGTTATGAGACGCAGTGATCATGACTCCAGCTGCAGCTTCATACTTCATCACAGCATATGGCTGGAGGACAAAATGATGGAAATACAATTCACAGGATTGGAGTTCCAGTTTGTTCATTATATTTGCTCCTAAATATCTTTCCCAAATAACAACAACTTGAGAAAGGTATTTTAGTTTTTCTACATACTAGTCAAGTCAAGTCAAGTCACCTTTATTTATATAGCGCTTTTAACAATACAGATTGTGACAAAGCAAGCGTCCTGGAGATGTCCTGGAGATGTTGTCCGACATGAGCTCCGCCCCGACTCTGCTGGGGTGCAGACCATCAGCGCGAAACAGCCTAGGACGCTCCCAGAAAAGATTCCAGTTGTTAACAAAGAGCAGTTTCTGTTCTTTACACCATGACAATAACCATTCATTTAAAGCAAAAAGCCTACTGAACTTTTCGTGTCCTCGTCGATACGTGGGAAGCGGTCCTGACACGATGATCGTCGTCGCAGGTGTCTTTTTCACCGTCTCGATCAGGCTCCTGAAGTCCCTCTTCAGCGTCTCCGTCTGCCGCAGCTTGGTGTCGTTAGCCCCCGCGTGAAGCACGACCGCTCCGGGGCTCTCGTCACCCTTCAGGATCGCGGGTATCTGCGCAGGAACATCGAGAACACGAGCACCAGGGAAACAGTGAGTGTGCACTTTACCTTCAGCTAACGTAGCACGGACGTGCCGGACGATGGAGTCTCTGATGATCACAGCGTCGCGTTCCGTCTCGCGGAGGGGAGCGAAGCGGTTCCGGGTGGAGATCTCGAAGACCGGAGGCGGCGGAGGGGGAGAGGTCGTCGTAAATTACTACTGTAATTTAAACGCATAAAAAAATAAAAATCTTTCACATGTTCTTACCACAAATGGGGTAGGCACATATGTAGAGAACAGATAGACAGCGATATCTTTACAAAGCATAACAGCTGCAGTCAACCTTGCAAGTCTGCAGAGAAAAAATACATATTTTTTACACTGTTACACAGATGTGAACATGATTCTGAAATAAACATGATTCTGAATAAGATGTTAACATGATCCAAAGTTCCTCTCTTTTATGGACATTGGCTTAATCTGAATAACATAATTGTGTTTCCATAACATAAATAATCTGAATATCATTAGGAGTGCTCCGATATGTCCGGCACGGGTAAAAAAATTAATTATAATGCTGAAGGCGAGGTACTGTACAATTCAGATTTCTTTATTTAATGACTAACAAAGTAATTTGAAAACTTTCTGTGAGATGTAATTTGAGAAGTCTTGTCAGTGTTTAAACCATTCAGCACTTGCACACTCAAAGCGCACACACACATACAGCTCACAAAATCAGGCTTGCCCCTTGTGAAAACTATTGTGCAGCAACTGCCCCATTGTAAAAACAAAAATGCACTGCATGATCAAACATTTAGGTGAGATAATGCGTTAAAGTCCTAATGGTTAGAGAGTCGGACTCATAACCCAAAGGTTGTGGGTTCGAGTCTCGTACCGGCAGGGATTGTAGGTGGGGGGAGTGAATGTACAGCGCTCTCTCCCACCTTCAATACCACGACTGAGGTGCCCTTGAGCAAGGCACCGAACACCGAAAGTGTTCACTGCTGTGTGTGTGCACTTAGGATGGGTTAAACGCAGAGCACTAATTCCTAGTATGGGTAACCATACTTGGCCATGTCAGTAAACTTTCAGTTCATGTGATCTTCATTTGTTGGTCTTTGTTTGTTGTGTAGACCTCTATTTAAACATCTTAGCAAATAATCTATTAATTATTTGTTCATTGCAGTACTCAATCTAAAGTGGAAACTATTCGTCATTTGCAAATGTTTATAAATAACAAAACATTAATACCTTTATGAGCAGTCATCTCAATGGCAAAAAGTGTCCCGAAAGACCTGAATTTACCCCATTCACACATCTTTGCTAATCATTTGTTCAAGTTTTTGCAATAGCCAAAAGTAGTCTAAAGTTGAAACTATTCATAATTTGTACATTTTTATAAACTATTACTAATCATTTAGTATCTTTATGGGCATTGGACTTTTAGCTATTGTAACAAGGTTTGTGTAAAGGGTGGCTGGTTAAGTTTAGTTAAATGCTTGCTAAAGACAAAACAGATTGTTATTTTGGTGCAAAAAAAAAGTTTTTATTGCCTCAACACTCACATTAGTATACTACTCTTCAGTATATCATTAAACAGGATATTCATTCAATCATAAATAAACAGGGGAAAACAAACTTGTTAATTAATCAAAATAATATAATATAAACAGATTAAACCGTGTTCCCTTATAATGATCAAATTGACCCCTGTACAATGTTGACCACTTAACCAACCCTTAAACCTACCCATACCTGTCCCCAACCTTACCCGTATTACACCTCAATAGCAGCAAAAGCTTTTAATCACTTTATAACATCTGTTAAAATCATTTGTAGATTTTCAATAAGTGCTTGATAATATGGAATTGGAAGTTTAATTACATGTTTTATTTTTATTTTATAATGATTTGTTTGAACAGTATCTAATGTTTAATAAGTTTATTAGCAAACAATAAAGGGATACTCCACCCCAAAATGTAAATGTTGTCATTAATCAACATTTGATTAACCCCCCCCCCCCCCTCATTTCATTCCAAACCCGTAAAAGCTTCGTTCGTCTTCGGAACACAATTTAAGATATTTTGGATGAAAACTGGGAGGCTTGTGACTGTCCCATTGACTGCCAAGTAAATTACACTGTCAAAGTTCAAAAAGGTATGAAAGACATCGTCAGAATAGTCCATCTGCCATCAGTGGTTCAACCGTAACGTTATGAAGCGACGAGAATACTTTTTGTACGCAAAGAAAACAAAAATAACGACTTACATTTTCTATGTGTATTTACGCTTTGATATGAATGAAAACAGCGCATCCGTGCAGCGCAGTTGACACAGAAGAGTGTACGCTGCTTGCGTTCAGCGGATATTCTCCAAAATGGCACTACGGTGATGTGGAGAGACACAGAGGAGACGAATTGTTGAATGAAGTCATTATTTTAGTTTTCTTCGCGTACAAAAAGTATTCTCGTCGCTTCATAAAATTCAGATTGAACCACTTTGGATGGATTATTCTGACGATGTCTTTCATACTTTTCTGGACCTTTACAGTGTAATTTACTTGGCAGTCAATGGGACAGTCACAATCCTCCTGGTTTTCATCCAAAATATCTTAAATTGTGTTCCGAAGACGAACTAAGCTTTTAGGGGTTTGGAACAACATGGGGGTAAGTGATTAATGACTACATTTTCATTTTGGGGTGGAGTATCCCTTTAACAAGCACATTATCACACGTTTCTAACTCTTTGAATATATATCAACTAATGCTCCATTAAGCACTATATAGTGTTTGTTAATGATTTATTAATGAAAATTATTATAAAGTAAAAAAAATAAAAAATTGTTATATAAAAAAAAACATACACGTTTCAGGATAAGAGAGCCAGACAGAATTTACATGTCTTGCAACTATACCTTTAATTAAAAACTGATAAAGACTGAATGAAATTGGTCACATACTATATAGGATTGGCATTATGTTACATAAGCCATCTTCTAGTTCTAAAACTCTGGTATGTACAAATCAACAGATAAAATACTAGCCTATAATAACAGGCCTATTTAAGAAAGAACATGCTATTCTGTTGATGTACATTAGGTATGACATATGTCAAATTATAAACACAGTAGGGCTGCAACAACTAATCGATAAAATCGATTATTATCGCTAATGAAAATCATCGACAGCGATTCTCATTATCGATTAGTCGGGTGTGCCCACAGTGCACGTCCAACTTCAGCCGGTCGCATCAAACTAAAGCACTGAATAACGCATTTCTATGGACAAAATGCATTTAAAAATAGTGGAGGAAACAGAATGAGCTCCTGTAGAAAAGGTACATGATCCAAGCTGCCCAAAAACATGAGAAATCTTTATTTTAAGCTTCAAGCTGATGCATTAGCGTAATGCTTGCCCTGTCAGACACTTTGACAGATACGTGTGTGCATCCTCAGCGCAAAAAACTTTCAGTTAACGGTCATATCCTTATCTGTAAATTACACAAATTCACACGAGCCTTTCCATTTTTGCATAATAGGTTTAAAAGTCAACATGCAGTGCGAGTAATTTATGAGAATAAGAACTGTGAAGGGACATCAGCGTGTGATTGTAATATAAATGTCAGACGCTTTTACAGGATAAAGAAATGACGGAGACGGACTGTGATCAAAGTGCAGGCAATGCGTGTTCATGCAGAACATTACTATGATTTTATTCGTCTTTATTATCTTTATTATTAAAATTTTCGATCTAGAGATTTAAACTATATTCACTAAATAGCCTACAGTGATTAACAAATTTATTAAAACAAATTTATGTAAGGTTTTTAACCAATTTTGTAAGGTTTGTGCCACTGCTGCTCTTAACTAACAGTATTGGTAATTATCAAAATCATTTTTTAGCTTTCTGTATTGGTTAGTTCTCCAATATGTGTAAGCTCTTTAGTAACAGTAGTAGGCTATTTCTAATGCTAGAATATAATTATTGCTGTTATCTATGAAAGAAAGGCAGAAAAAAATTGTCAAGTGCTTTATAGTGTTTTTTTATTCAGATACCCAATTAGTCAAAAAGTACATAAACAATGCCAGCAAGCACGCAAGCTGTTATCAAAGGCAAAGGAGGCCATTTTTGTTATTATGTGAATAAATACTATTTAGTCGTTTCGGTTTGTTCTTTGCCCAATAAATGACAATAACATTTTTAGATTTAACTTTTTTTTTTGACAGATTCCTAAAATATTTGTGTTTTCTCTATTATGACAGGTGGTCTAATAAATTGTTAAGCACTGTATGTTTTCATAGCATTCAGTTGGCACATTTGTTTGAAGAACATTGGGCAGAATGTGGAATTAGAGTGTTTTTGTCAATAAAATTAAAATAAAGAAAGTTTTAGATCCGATTAGATTCCGGGGGGTGGGG